ACTAGTAATGCAATACAATTATTTTCTACCCTTATATTGTAAGTTTTATTTCAACATTCTTCTATTTCTTTCTGTTTATCATCTTCTTTAATTTTCCCTGTACTGCATTTAGATTATCCAATTTTATTTGTACAGGCTGTTCTTCGAGATGTTCTTCAAAAGTTTTTGCCCGATGATGCTCATATTAGGTCTAATGGGAGGGTTCGAGGTAAGTGGTTTTTTTGTTCCCTACTCAAAAAGAATGTTTTCTAATTGAGAAGTGTATGGATTTTTTATTTATTTTTCTTCTTTAGAGTTTGGTTTAATTTTTCAAGTCCATATGCAATAAATATTGTTCGTGTAGATGAATTGACTACTTGTAAGTACATGTATTTAGATGTGTATCAATGGGGATCTTTCAAATATGTGACTATTTGGTGCTGCTTATGATTGGGTAGGATTGGTTCCTGTGATAGCATCAGTCCTGTGATCTTTTGCTTGTGGAAAAAGTAGGTATGTTTTTTTTTTCAAATTGTTGGAATTTGACCTACCACTTTTGAGGTGTTTGAACTGTGGATGTCCTGTCCTATTGAGTTACCACAAATACAAGTGGCTGCCGTCGCTCTTCACCCGCTAAATCCGAACAAGAACATAAAGTGATCCAAAAAACAGCAATGAATCAAGATATTTTCTTGCACTCCCACCACCCACCCTTCTCTTCCCAAAACTGTAAAATCTTACTTTACCGTCTAACATGAACATTTTGCCCCAAAGTTTGTGTAATGACTGACAGATGTAAGGAGTTTGAAAAAGGTATCTGGAGTATAGAAACCCCCCAACGTTTCAGTTCAATATTCTCTCACAGTGAATATATCTAACTCCTCACATGTGAGCCTCTATCCTCAGCTTATATTGGAAGGTTGCAGTCTTAGGAATTTAAACCCAGGATCTCCAGCTTAGTTAGCGTGATAATATTGGTTGGTTTGCTGCCATTCGCAGTAGTTGTAATAAGATGCGGGTCAATAATTATTTTATACTCTCAATTCATTCATGTTTATATTTTTTTTTAATCTCATGGAATACCTTTCTTTTATTACATATAGCGATGATCCATTTCACCACTTGGTTATTTCTGTTTAACCATATAAGTTTTCTTTTTCCCATCTAATTTTTAATTTTTTTTAATTCATGGTTAACTGGTCCTTATTGATTGTATCTTCTGAAAGAGATTCTTTTTGTGTCTGCAAAAAAAAAATCCCAAGCTTATAGACTTCTGGATATTTTAGCTATTGAAATTAATATTTTTTAATAAAAAAGAAAAACAGGAATTTTATGCATGTCCTTTGTATTATCAACTGGGTTTTCATTTGAATTCTGCATGCAGCTTCTTTATGATTTCCTTTTTTTTCCCCCACAGTTGCAGTAACACAGCTTCTATGGAGACCGAGGGGTTTATTGGTGGATCAGTTTGACTCTAAGGAGGATCTCATTGATGCAGTTTTTACTTCTTCCTTTATTCCAGGGTGATTATTGTATATACCATTTTGTCTTGCAGTATTTGCTGCTGTGTTGATTAATGTATGAAGTTTGAACTAAAAGTAGACTGCAGTACAGATATCTTGCACCAAGACCAGCAACGATGTTCCGGAATCGGCTTTGCATTGATGGGGGCTTGACATTATTTATGCCACCAACATCTGCAGCACAGACGGTATTAACTGTTTCTCTTTCCTATGTTAGCTAGATAACAGGAATGTGATTCAAAACCTAAGTTATTTTAGTATTTTTCCTACCAATGGTTTTTTACCAAATATGTTGCAACTTGTTTGAGGGTACTGCTAATCCGGGTCCCAGTTACTCTCATGACTATGTGAAGTAAACATGCATTTTAATGGGGTTTCAAACTTTTCCTACATATTCCTGTGAAACCTCTCCCACATTTATGAGGTCATGTTGTCTATTATGCCCTCCAATTCCCGTTTCTTTGCCATTTTTGATTCTTGAATTGACTCCACTAATGTAGAAGTAAGAATATCTCAAATATTATCGTCATGTATCTTTTGTTTCCACTTACCCTCCCCAACACAAAAGAAAAAAAAAACCATGATGATCTAGCCTCATTTACTTTGTTATCAATATATGGCGGCCTCCTATTGTTACTTTTGTGGTACGGTTATGCCTTCCTTAAATATTCTAAATTCTCAGATGAGATACTTTTGTATACCCCTAATAATGTTGCTTTGCAGGTACGTGTTTGTGCTTTCCCTGCCAGTCGATTAGGATTGCAAGGAATTGGGATCAGTCCTGACTGTAATCCTGATGATAGGGCTACCCCTCGACAGGTAAATTGGTACCTCCGCATTTGAAAGATAACCTTTCCCTTGAGGATAAGATGACGAATTATTTGTTTCCTTCTATTTCAGCTTTTCAATTGGGCACTTGAGCCAGGAGAAGATGATGTTCTTGACCGGCTCTTTGAGCTCGGATATCAAGATGCAGCTGTATGGGCTAAGGACAACCCGGTTGGCGAAATAGTTGAAGATAACACTTCCTTGGTTGGTAGTGGCATAGATCAGTAGGCTGTCATTAGAGTCTCTGTTTGACCTTGAAGATGCATAAGGTTCTTGGTTACTGTCAATTACTGAGAATCCTGTTATGTCGTTTTCACATACAGGTCAGACAGACCAGCTTTCCTATAGCATATACAGCCCTTGATTATAAAAGGGTGGAACCATATTCTCTTGATATAGTATTGCAATTGTATAGCAAGCTGTAAAATTTGTTGTAAGACCGTATGTGGAATAGGGAAAAGAAAAAAAATAGGTGGTCATTGAAAATGCATTTACCAATAATGATCAATTCAGATTAGGTTCAGTTTTAGAAACCTTCTATCTCCAGACTTGTTCCTTTTGGTTTTAGTTTCAATTTCATTAGGCGGTGCTTGTACTTTTTAAAATTCTGTGGCTGGTATCGGATTTCTTGATGGTGTCGTAGATTTGGGTGTTGTTTATGATTGTAATCTTTCCAATAGAGATGAATATAATCTTTGAGGTTAGGTATATAACTCACAAGAAAGAAGCTGGATCTGAGAACATTTGATTTGAAGGATATTTCTTAGTTACACAAATCAGTTCCTGGGATACAAGTCCCATTGCCTTATCCGTATTCTTAAATATAGTTGGAACAAGGAAAAGCAAGGGTTATTACATGCTTGTAAATGAACTTTTCCTTTAAACTACATTGACACGAACACGACAAACATGACTCGTTTGCCAGGAGGTCTAATGTTACCTAAGTTCACTCAAAATTACAGTGTTCAATATTATCATGTGACTTTTTCCCCTTCAACTAGTGACTGCTAGTATTTCCCTAACTTTTGATGATGATCCATTAATGATCAAACCTCAGAATGTGGAAAATTTGTTTTTAACTTTCAATTAGTGAGTACGGTCCAAAACGAAATGGAACATTTGAACTTGTCTAGGTCCCACAAACATGCATGCCCTTAAAGAAGTATTATTAGTGATCTTGATGAAACTATTTGACCCTGTTTTCAGCCATCTCTCAATCCCAAATTTCCTACCAAACCCTACTTTACCAGTACTTAATTATAAAGTTGTATAAACATGATTCTAATAAACACAAGTTTGAACCCATGCGTTGGTTGACCAAAATAACTAGAACCAAAGTGGGAGACAAGGACAGCCCATTTTGCATCCTTTTTTTCCTGCAAAAGTCAAAAAAAGCATAAGAGAAGCAAGCGCATGAGATCTCCATAGTAAAAATAAAGTCATACAGATACAGATACTACTTTTTCACAGTATAAGATTAAACAGAAAACACATATTTAAGCTTTGCATGGTTGCACCACAACATAGCCTGTACAGTAAAATGAAGGGTAAAAATGAAAGGGTAGTCTTGTCATAAAGGTACAACCATAAACATCGGAGAGATCATAAAGCAAGCACTTGTTGCATTCAAGTCCAATTGAAAAATAGATCCAAGGAAGAAGAAAAGAAAAGGAACGCCTACATTATGTGTGTGTCCACACAGGTCATACAACACCATGCACGCTCATGCACCCCCTTTCTAGAAAAAGCCAATCTCATTTCAAAAAAAGTCCTGACCAAAATATATATATACAAAAAGAGTCATTATGTAAATTCCACAACTGATCACCCTCTTATACCTATTTCCTCTTCAAACTCTCTCTCTCTCTCTCTCTCTCTAGGGTTTCTCAGGGGCCTTGTTACAGAGGCAATTTGGCATTCTGTCCACCTCCATATTCACAAGTACATATAGAAGAAGTTTCTTTCTTTTATTTTACAAGCTCTGGAGGCGGCCAGCATGTCAAACTGGCTCTGTAAATTTCTCTCTGAGAAACTCACATAGAACACTGGAAAACCCTGGTAATATTCATGTTCAAAAACCCTTGACTTGTGTTGCTCTTGCTGTTTTTATTTTTTACTCTTCTCGTGGATTTCTCCTCCCATATATTGCATGGCACAGGTGAGTTTTGAATAAATCATAACCATTCAGCAAGTCTTCCTCTACATATACATTATTTGTGGTTGGAAAATTAGTAATCATAATGAACTCTTGAATCATATTCCTGATTCACAGCTCTTGGCAGGTTGATCAGACTCGAGCTCCTCATCGTATACATTGTTCTGTCAAGCTCATTGATTTTTCTTATTATCAGTGGTTGTTAATTTGTTTCTTTTATAAATTAAGGCTTAATTTAGAGTAATTAAGGTTTAGTTAGCTTACCATGTACACAAGTTTTTGGTTTGTTCTATTGGTTTTGACAAACTTCTTTTCTTTCTTTTTACTTATTCGAAATATATTTTGGTAAACAACATATATTACGTGTTCTACTAGAGAATATATTAACATAATGGTCTTCGTCTACCAGATAAAAAAATGGTTCCAATTGAGAGCTATGGAGTCAAGTGTATGTCAATGGAACTTCTTGTGGCCAAGGATGCCTCACTTGTTTGGAGAGGCCTATGGTATAATTTTTAAGTCTTTTCTTGTTTAAAGTAGTTTTTTTTATTTTATACAAAGCAATATTAGGGGTAGAGAAGGGGAGGGAAATTGAACCAGAAAGCTCGGTACATGAATAAATACTTTCAACCACTTGGGCTACAAATTCGTTGCGTATTGTTTTTGTTTGGACATACACCTATTGTATTAATTTTCTCGTGATTTATATCCCTTGTGCAAGTCAACCATTGACATGAATTTGGAAAAGCATAGAAATATCATTAAGTTATTTGTAGTGCATGTATTTGTGTCTTTTTGGTAGTCCCTTTTTAACTTTTCTCTGGAAGCAATGATGATGGGATGGTGGGCTTTTCATGTCCAAAGAAACATATTGATGATTTGTGTTAGACAGGTGGTCGATTTTGATTGGCTCGGAGTAGTAGGTTTGTGGTTTCACATAGGATTCCAAGAAGCATATTAATGCTCTGAAAAGATATGCATATATAAATGCTCTTTTGGCTTTTGGCCGGAGCTCTTGGTGTATGGTACTATTGGAGGCTACCATTTTTGGATAGGAACGTTTGCGATAGAGAGGTTAGAGGTTAAATTCTTTTTCTTATCCATGCCACATTCAAACCCACACAGTGCCACCCCACTACAACCACCTACTTACCACAAACGAAAGCTCCACTAATCGGTTGTATACAATCATGTGTTTATCTTTGTTTTTATTAGTTGCGTGATAAAAGAGATAGACAAAGTAGTCGTATATAACCAAATTACACATCATAAGTTCTCGACCACTACTTATAACAACATTCCTAAGTTTTTTTTTAATCATTAAGAAAGAGAAAATTCGAACTTGAATCATCTTTCAATATTGAGAAATTTTAAAGTACCACTATATTGAGATGTAGTTGGTTAACTTAATTATTCATTTATATATTAGCTAATTATTCACATCCCAACCATAGCTGCATTAGAAGCAAAATTCATACATGAACCAATACACAATTGCATTTGTAAGCTTGTTTTGTACTATTGAAAATTATAGTCCTTATTTCATTCAAGGCAGAGAAAAGAATAAATATTGAGCTAGTTCGAAGCTGCAAGCAGAAGGATAGCGAGGCAATGCAGAAGAAGAAGCCATGGGAAGTGCCAGCTACTGTAACAGAAGTGGCAAGGGAGCTCAGAAACAAGAATGACGCAGGGCAAGGAGAAATTGAGTACTTCTTTTCAATTTCCTTTTCAGCAGAAGAAAATACAAATCCCACACCAAAAGTTTAATTTCTACAGCTTTTATGAGAAAGAAAAATGTATGTAAGGTACACATTCTGCGAGGGGTTGATCAAAAAAATGATATTGCAGAAAAAATATTTGTTAAATATTGAAGACCTTGTAGCATGGCTTATGGTTCTATTTCCATGTCGCAGTCTCCTGGTATATCAACTGTAATCTTGAAACAAAAAACCGTAGAAAAGAAAACCACCAGCATGTTTTGTTGAAGAACTAAATTATGATAAATTTTTTTAACTCGGAGAAACAGATTTCCTGTGTCTCAGCATTGCATCGCATACCTTCACAGCATCTACATTATCTCTTACATTATGTACTCTTACAATATTTGCTCCGCCCAGAACAGCAGCAGTGACAGAAGCAACAGTAGCAGGATCTCTCTCAGTTCCCGCGGTGCGACTACAAATTTCACCTAAAAATTTCTTTCTGGAAGGTCCAATCAGTATAGGTGCATGAGACATGGCCAAACTTTCCCTCCCAATCTCTGCTTGAATATTTGGTAATCCCATCAAGACGTCCAAATTGTGATCACAGTTCTTTGAAAATCCAATTCCAGGGTCAATAATCATCCTCCAAGCTGGGATGCCTATTAATTCTGCTTCTCTCACCCTCGAGTATAACTCAGAGGCAACCTGCTTACAAACATTATCGTATTTCAGGTTCTCACTATTCTGCATCGTAGATGGATCCCCCCTCATGTGCATTGCTATGTAGGGAACCTTAAGGCCTGCAACAACCCTAAACATGTTAGAGTCCAACAGCCCAGCAGATACATCATTCACAATATGTGCCCCTTTGCTGACTGCTTCTGCAGCAACTTCTGAATAAAATGTATCCACAGATATAATCTTTCCCTCTGCTTCAGGCATCCCAACAACTGCCTCTAAAACAGGGATTAGTCTATCCAATTCTTGTTGAACTGAAATCCTAGAAGCCATTGGCCTCGTAGACTGTGCACCAATATCAATCATATCTGCCCCTTCTGAAATCATTGAGCGAACTTGAGAAATTGCTGCCTCCACAGACTGAAACTTTCCTCCATCGCTAAAACTATCTGGGGTCAGATTAAGGATACCCATGACTGAAGTTTTAGTTGACCAGTCCCACAAGCCTTTTCCAATGGGCAAAACCCTCTTCAGGCCTTCCTTTCCAGTGAGTGTTTCACCACCCAATTTCTCCCAGGCATCAAAAAGCCCACCAGAATGCATTGAGAAAGAATGCCAACAAGCAACTGTATCATTGTCAACAGTTGACCCCAGTAAATCCATTAGTGGGGCTATTACAAATGGTCTTTCCCAAATTCTTTCATGGGGGACTGTAAGAATCTCAGAACTGACTCTTAACTTTCCATAGAACAATATATCCAAGTCAATTGGCCTGGGAAGATACCTTATACCGTCAGTACGACCCATTTCTTTTTCAATTTTCTTCAGTGCTCCTAATAATTCATGAGGCCCAAGTTGTGTGACAGCTCTAACAGCAGAGTTGAGAAAATTAGGCTGATCAGTCACATAGGCTGGTGCTGTCTCATATAAACAACCATGTCTTGTGATTTGTATGCCTGATTTTCTCATTAACTGCAAAGCTTCATTGAAATTATGCAGTCTGTCACCCACATTGCTTCCTAAAGCAATCACTACTTCCTGATCTGGAGTATGAACTTCTACTGAGAAGTTTGGGGACGAATGTATGAAGGCAAAATATGATGCTGCATTGAACATGAAAACAAGTATAAGGAACCTAGCTTAGGTTAGTAACGTCCTCTATACTTGGAAAAGTAGTGATAAAAATTCCTACATTTTGCCCCATGGACTGCTTTTGTTGCTATTATACATGATCTCTTCAACGTTGAAAAAGCTATAGAACTCTCAATTTACACAACTACCACCAAACCTCTGCATGTATTTTATGACTATAGCTCACAATTTATATGCGTTTGATGGGAGACTAACTAAATTTTGGGTAGAATATCAAGTCCCTTCACCCTCACATCTGACTATAGCTGACTAACATAATTTAGGGTAGCATAGATGAAGTCCAAGTGACACTTGAATGGTGCTAATCCAAACAAGATAAACAAATTAAATAAATAAATACATATGAACTATGAACAAGGTTTTGATCCCGCAAAGATTTGCAGGCAATTCAGATTTTAATCCAGATGACATACAGCACAAATTCAATCAATGGTTCATTCAAATTTGCAATTTTTCCTTAGCAGGCATCATATTTAACGTTTTTTAATACCATGTATTAATATTATTATAGAATATCAAAACCGAGTGAATAGAAGGACTTACCTCGACAATACTTTGTGAAACCATCCAATTGCCTCATGGTGGGCATGAGGTTCTTGCATATATTCATGGTTGGACTTATGAGTCGCAGATCTTCAAAGCGCAGTTGAAATTATTATTTTGGGAAAATTATACCAATGCAGCATGAACTGTTTCAATCTGCTACCTGAAAAAAAAAATTAAAAAAAAAAAATTGTTCAAATGATATTGAAGCAATTTCCATCTCAACTAAAAATTTGTTGCAATGTGGCACCTACATATAACTCTGTCAAAAATTCTGTTGCAAATAGTCAATGTGCAAGCACATGCCTCATTTCAAAATTCAAAATACTACAAGATCAATTAAAAACAAAGCAAAGAGGAAAAGTATGCACTAATTTACCAAATTGTAAATTCATGTTGCAAGCCACACAACAAAATAACACTTACAAGACCAAAATTCCAAAACTACGTTGGAATATTCAACACTGAACTACTCTGTAATTCTTACCTCATAAACAACAAGAAAGCCAAAAAGGATCCATATGAAGCCTAATCATAAACTAACATATATATAACAAACTGGGAACCATCAAACAACTATCTCAAGCCATTGTAGGTCGCATAAGGGAGAACAATGGCGGTACCTGCTCTGCATCAGCAGTGGAGAATTTTCTTAGCTTTTGGATTGAGGATGGAGTTGCTCATTTGCACATTTGGGTTCCCATAGGTTCCCTAAATCCATAAACCCCTTTATTTCTAAATCGCGAAATTAGAAAGAAATAGAGTAAAAAAAATTAAATTAAAAGGAGAAGAAAACCCAAAAATACAAACATAAACTTTTTCTCTGTGAACTTGATAAAACAACAGAACTTAAAGAACTCAGAGGAAATCGAAGAACTTGAGCAAATAAGACCCAAATGTGAGCTGCCTGGGGGATACTTTAGCTTAAAAACAGTCAATATAACTCCACACACCAATAAGAGTTTTGGGTTGAAAGAAAGAAGATGAGAAGCCAGAGAGAGAGAACAGAAATGGCTTTTGTGTTGTGGCCGTTTTGTTTGTAGGGCTGGCTGATACGATATATCAGTGAAAAGCTGCAGCGGTTAAACTAAACAATATAGTACCTAGTGATTACACCCTTAAAATATGGTAGTCCATATCTTATCAATTTTTACAATTACATAGTCTTTTAAATTTGTTACAATGTACTTCCACCATTAGATTTTTGTCAAATCTCTTTGTTAGTTGCCTACATGGCACTATAAATCCGCATTTAAAAAAATATATATATATATATATATATATATATATATATATATATA